TATTAGTAAAAATTATTTCAAAAAATGAGGAGGAAATTGATGGTGGAAGTTAGACCATCAATGGTCTAAATCTTGGACCCTTGACAGGGTGACTTGGAAGTTGACAGGGTGACTTGGACTATTGACAGGGTAACTTGGACCATTGACAGGGTGACTTACCATTGACAGGGTAAATTGGACAGGACAGGATTACTTTGACCATTGATAGCACAGGGTGACTTAGACCATTGAGCATTGACATTTGACAGGGTGACTGACTTAGACCATTGACATTTGACAGGGTGACTCAGAGTTGGACCATTGGCAAGGTGACTTCAATGACTTGGACCATTGACAAGGTGACTTGGAACATTGACAGGGTGACTTGGACCATTGACAGGGTGACTTCAATGACTTGGACCATTCCACACTCAGGAAGATGTATATAAATGGGAAAATTTCCTGCGCAAAACAATCTAATTATATTTTCTCTGCGCAGGCGTTTGCGCAAATCACGGTCATCAATTCCACGCCGCGCAGCACTCGGCACGGGCCGCGGAGCCGTCCGACACAGTTCTGATTTAGACACAGTTTTCATCTGAATGGCATGGCAACATCGTCTGTAGATTTCAAGTAACGCTGAACGAATTCAACTTCAAGTGTGATGTGTCCCTCTGAAGCTATTCTCATTTTTATTAATGTTTGTTGTTTGCCTCTATAATTAACCTTCATCATTGCAATAAAAATGAAAATTTATAATTATGATAGATTTCTTCCAGTGCCTGTATTTTTTTATGCAATTAGCACTTATTAGTGGGGCGTGAGCGCGTTATGGGCGGTGAATGATTTGCGGTGTGGTTCTTTAATCTTGACTTCTGCAGTTTGCGCAATCCCGGCCATCAATTCTATGCTGCACAAGAGCAGTTTGTGGAGGAACAGACGCAATACTCATTACAGTATGCCTTTAATTATCCTTCAATAATATATGATTTTTCTTGATACGGAATGGAAATTTGGTGAATGAGAAATCTATAATTTTATTTTGGAAGAAATTATCTCCAAAGTCATATGGCAACACTGAAAACGGTATTTTTACATTTCGTATGTAAAATAGCCACAGTTTACGATACCCGTATGTTCTGTATCTGACAAGCGGAAGTCAGAAGTAACCCGGAGTCCGGGAAATTTCTTACATTTTATTATTGTTCGTTCGACTCGCGTAGTTGATATGAACTTTGATCAGTTTGATGACCAATGGAATATAACTTTTTAATAGGGGAACTTCATGTTTATCAGGGTTGGTGATTTTTTTTTATTTTTTTTTTAAATCAAAAATCAATGATTTTTTTAATTTTTCATGATTTTTTTTTATTTATTTGATTTTTTGATTTTTTCAGCTTTTTTGTCTTTTTTGAGGTGTTATTTTTTATGTTGCAATTAGCCAACTAACAATAACAGTATATGGATCATAAAGGATGGCTAAAAAGGGCACTTATTGCCTCCAATAATGGCCAACAGGCCAAGGTTTCAATACAATCTCAACCTCTCAATATACAGGGTGGAGCAGAACCGATTGAGCAGTTTTGAGGTAAAATAAAAGAGTAATGGAGGTACATAAAGAAGAAAGCTTATTTTCCTAGAGGTTAGCATAACATACTACCATTTAGAATACTTATGTTTTAAAATATCTGGAAGATGGGGGCCGTTAGCAGCAACACACTGTTGGAGTCATTCTCAGAGGAGGGAGTAACCATGGCAGTGAATTCCAATTGCCATGCTTCAATGTTGCAAAATTTCTTGCAGCCCATGATGGAAAACATTTTTGAAAATGAAGCATTGAGAGACGTGTGGTTCCAGCAGGATGGGGCTACAGCTCACACAGCTCGAATGTCACTCAATGTTTTGTCATGTTTCCCGTAGGTCTGGTGTCTCTGAGGGGTGATTTACAGTGGCCTGTGAGGTCACCTGATTTGAGCATTTGCGATTTCTTTCTTTGGGGACATCTAAAAGAAAGGAGTTCAGAAGTCGCCCTCACACCCTACCTGTCACAGCTAAGGGAACGGATCATTGCAGCAGAGGTTATGGCCATACCTCGCCATATGTGTGAACGAGCTGTAGGAAACTTAACAACTCCAACAGTGTGATGCAGCTAACAAACCCCATCTTCCTGATATTGTTTTTAAAACATAAGTATTTAAATTTTGATTTAATGAATAAATAAATGGTATGTTATGCTAATCATGAGGAAAATAAACTTTCTTCTTTATGTACCTACATTACTCTTTTATTTCACCTCAAAACTGTTCAATCAGTTCTGCCCCACCCTGTATAAGATAGCTAACACATTTAAATTGTATATTGTAATCAATATATAACAAATAGTCAAACAGTTAAGACTACTTATAGTCTTATAAGAATAAGCTAAGCTGCTAGCTACATACTCTTGATGCCTCTGTACCAAAAACATTCCATTTATTGGAACCTAATACACACTAAAGGCAACAAGTTTTTATATCAATTTCTCATTCAAAGTACATTTATACTAAACCATGAATAACAATACCTCAATATAAATTAAAGACTGCCACTCAATATTTTTAAATATATGAAAAATCAAAAAAATCGAAAAAATAGAAAAAATCATGATTTTTTATTAAAAAATCAAGTGATTTAATCATTGCCAACCCTGATGTTTATTATACTACAAGTAATGATCTTTATTTAATTATAGCCATGTTGAAATGTTTTTTTTGTGAAGCCCGCTCCAAGATCATTAATGTTTTTATATACATCCTCATATTGTTAGGGAAGCTCGCCGCTTCCATCAGATCTTAAAATGTAAAAGTTTAATAGATACAGATTTGTATGAATAATGCCATTCAATATTGTTAGCTACATCAAATTGAGGGTGGAACATGGGAATGGCAATGATTAATTTATCTGAAGCAACCTTTACAAAATTAGTGTCAAATAAGCAAACAGATGTCATGTCAACCGGAACTCGAACACCACAGCAGAGAGTATTTTATGCAGCTAATGAATTTTGCAAACTTTGCTGGAAGAGAGATTATTGAATTTTAGAAAAAAGGCGGGATAATTCAATGAAGGGTGGTGGCAAAACTGCAATCTTGATACTCTATTGCGATTCGTGCTATGATAACCTACATAACAATTTTCATATGATAGTTATAATTTTTGCACATTCAAACTTCAAAGTACGCATGACATAACATAACGCACCCATATTTGGAAACCATAATTGCTCTAATGAAGCAAAAATAAATGACAGACCATTGACTTATCTTGAAAATATATATATTCATATTTTGTATCACATAGTATAATTACGCTCTGTAATTAAGCCATATTGACCTAATTTGTATACCATCAACCGGGGCTACTTGGGACTGGCGGGCAGAGCTGGGCAGCGCTACTTGGAAATGTAGCGGCGCTACTGCTACCGCTACATGCTCTAAATGTAGCGGGCGCTACCGCTACACCCACTAGATTGTAACGGGCGCTACCGCTACAGTAAAATGTAGCGCGCTACATTAGCCGCTACAATGTAGCCGCATTAGCTACAATGGCCAAAATTATTGGAAATCTCTAAATATTTATTGTTCTGCTATTGGGATTTACTCATTAAAATTTAATGATAATAAAACATTTTTAAAACATATCAATGCAACTTTATTGCAATTAACCTAACCGAACTAGTATGGGTTACCCTAGTGGTAACTGGTAACAACTTAACAAGTAACAACTAACATGTTGACACTAGTAACAGGCTGAGGTTGACAACATTACACCAAAATCTTTCGTACAGTTTTATTCTGTAATTTATATTATGTATGTATCATGCTGGTTTTTAAATAATATTTAATACTATTAAGCCGACCGGCTACCCTAAAAATCGGAAATTGTGGCTTTACCGTTTTCTTGACTCATTTTGTAGCTGCTAAAAAGGCGCGTCTAACGCAGTTTACTGCATGTCTGTGCGAGCTATAATTTTTGTGTAAGACAATTTAAAAAATATATATATGAACATTTTTTAACAATATGTACAAAGATTTATTTGAATTAAATCTGTATATATAGATCATTACTCTTGTTAATTACAAAGTGTTAGCACTCATTTGAAAGCTACAAACGAGATGCGTTCAACAAAGCTGCTACTGTGAAATGGGGTTACTTTGACTGGCGGGGTAACTTTGACCACTTTTTGTTTTTTTAACAAAAACCCCCAAAACTCAAAAACTATTTGACATAAAAAAATTTTGTCAATGGCCATCAAAGGCCTAATACTGAGGCTATGTAACACAATAGAAAGATTTAAAAAGTTTGCATATCTAATAGGTTAAAAAATTAATAATGTGACCCACCAAAAAGAGCAATTATTTAAAGCCTGTCAGAGTACCCTCTCCAATTTTTTATTTTTTTTTTTTTGTAAAATAACTCCAGGTTTTGATGCATTGTAGTAGAACTCTTCTAGTTACATATGCAAATGACAAATTTTAGGAAAGTGTCATAGTTTGCAAATGGGGGGCTCTGCCCCGCAATGGGGGAACTTTGACCACCTAATGGCAGCTGTGACGGGGTAACATTGACCGGCTTGGAAATTAAGTTAAAATTACCATAGGTACCTATATAACATATTTTATGTTTGATACACTTATTAATGTTTTTTCTTTATGTTTCAGACTCTACAGAGTCTTATATATGGTAATTTTAATTTAATTCCCAAACCAGTCAATGTTACCCCATCACGGCTGCCATTAGGTGGTCACATTTCACAAATTGGGGGGCGGTGCCCCCTATTTGCAAACTATGACACTTTCCTAAAATTTGTCTTTTGCATATGTAACTAGAAGAGTTCTACTACAATGCACCACAACCTGGAGTTATTTGGAGTTATTTTACCAAAAAAAATAAAATTGATTTTACCACCCGGTCAAAGAAACCCCAAGAGCTGGGGTAACAAAGACCATCACTTTTTTTAAAATCACATCAAAACTATGAGAGGCAGGCGCTAGCAATTTATGGTGAGTAAAGCTAGAGTATAGACCTGTATTTTCAATTTAAGTTTAACTTATCTAGTAAAAAAATGGTATCATTTTGAAAAAAAAGTGGTCAAAGTTAGCCCATTTCACGGTACCATAGATGTACGTACAATACATTTTTGTGTAATGCCGTCTTGAACTTTTATAAAATGATCATTTTATATCATTATTTACAAATAAATGTTATTTATGTCATTATTTAGGTTAATTGCAAAGTGTTTGCACTCGTTTGAAAGCTACAAACAAGATGCGTTTAACAAAGCTACTACCATGGATGTTCATGCAATAGTTTTTGTGTAATGCAGTTGTAAAGTTACCGTTATGTAAAATGAATATTTTATATATGTATATTTATATATAAAAAGTCCCATTTATAGTCTATTATTCACGTTAAATTAAACATAAATAGGCCTAAAGACGCGTGCTGGTACCTTGAATGCAAATAATTGGCAATGAGAAAGCTTGGGCTACAATATCAAGACTTTTTATTCTTCTTCTGGCATATTCTTCTGTTTTCAATGAATTTTACTTTATTTTGCTCCCCTGAACAATTTAAAAATCCAAAAAACGCCATCTTAAAAAAATTATAACTCCAACAGTTTTCAAGCTACGGCAATGAGAGACATACCATTCGATTTGTAAAAACAATACCTAGCGACTCTAGAAGCCTTTTTTAAGAGTACCCCTTATATGCCGTTTTCTATTAATTCCACGTTTTCTTTCATTTTTTTTAATTTACATGAACAAAAGGGTCTTAGATTTCTGTTTTACATATGTGTACCAAGTTTCAAAATGATCTGTCTGTGAACAAAAAAGTTTTGTTGGAGGGTAGCCGGTCCCCTTAAGGGGACCGTCTAACCTAAAATTTTCAATTTAGGCGTTTTCCACTTTTTGGGCTCATCTTAAAGCTCACTTTTCAACGCATTCAACGGTACCAGAATCATCCCTGTGCGTCAAAAAATGATTTCGTGACAGCTTCCCAAAGAAGGGCAGTTTTTAGGCCCTTTAAGAAATGTCTATGGTTATAGTAACCGTTATTTTTCCGTTTTCTATGAATATCACGTTTTCTATCAATTTTTTCGAAAAATTCATAGAAGTAAAATGTTTTTATTTTTACATTTTACGTTTGAATGTGAAGTTTCATGATGATCGGATAATAACTTTAGGAGTTATAGGCTATCTCCAATTTAGGTTAGACGGTCCCCTTAAGTAAAATTTAAAGGCTTTATCTATAAATGTAGCAGTAGCGAGCGCTCAAGCGGCAAAACCTTGTATCGCTGCTTAAATATGTAGCGGGCACTACCGCTACCGCTACATTGCCTTAAATGTAGAGCCCCTACCGCTACTGAAAATGTAGTGGCCGCTACATGTTGCGCGCTACTGCCCACCTCTGCTGGCGAGGTAACTCAGGACAGTCCTCTGACATGGCAAAAACTGTTAGTGTAGCAAAACTAATTGGAATATTGCAAAACTAAATATAGTGGTGTAAACGTCAACATTTTTTCTATCTATGTAGTATAAAGGAAGTCAAAAAATACTACATTTAGTAGCTTTGAAAAATTCCTGAAAAAAATGGCGAAAACGCTATTTTGAAAAGTTACTTCAGCTAAGGTCTGTAGTAAAAAAATATTTGCCGCATTAAAAAATTTTACTTACATAAAGGTTGCACCCAAGTGTCAGCTTGAAAACGTTATTTGCAGAATTTACATACCTCAATCCCAAAAAAAAAATGGCAGCCATTTCCGAATGGCGGGCCTACTCAGGACACCCCCCACCCCCGGGGCTATTTGGGACACCCCCAAAAAAGCATTTACAGTAGAACCTCAGTAAGCAAAGGCTCCAGTTAAGAAAAAATTTGATTAAAAACAAAGAATATTGATTACATTTACCTCGCTTGGCAAAAAAATTTCACTTATCGAAAAATTAGTGCATCATCGGTCATCACAAAATTGTGCATAGAATGTCATATTTAGAATTGTGCACTAGGCATCATAGAATGAAAAGTAATTGACCTAAACTGTGATTTGTTTCTGCAAAACATATGATGGTTGTAACTAAAACATACCTTTCTGTTTCAGGTATGTTTTTCATGATCTTTTTTTATAGTAAGTCACTTAACCTAATTAAAATGGTGTGAAATTATAAGCCGTCCTGTAAGCTTACAGATACAGAAAAAATGCTATAAGGCTGCTGATATGAAGCTTGCAGTGGACAAAGTTGTTGTAAATGCTCAATGGCATGTTCATGGATACGGTAATATCGCATCAATAATAGGGTAATATCGCATCAATAATACGGTAATCAATGTATATGGTAATATCATATCAATAAAGGAAAAATGAGCAAAAATCACAGAAAATGTCATTTATTCTACCTCTACATCATCTACAATGAAAAAGGAGGACTTCAGAGTACTGTTAGTAATGGATGAATACACTCTGCATGCTTCAAATATTTTAAAATGAAGTTTTATTGCAGGTGTCCTGAGTAGCCCCATTTGACAGGGCTACTCGGGACACTTTTTTTTTGCTTCTGGCACCTTACAAATAGCATATGGAATTTTTTTGAAGATGTCATTCGATAGCCCTCACAAAGAGCTATAAAATGAGCCTAAACTTGTTTATGAAATGTTTCATGGTAAGAAGTTATTAACAAAAAACACTCAAAACCGTCCCGAATAGCCCCGGTTGACAGAGTCCATTTATGCGCATTGTTATTAGGTATTGATCATGTCGATTTCGCCGGCCGGGAGGATGTCGGTAATGTAGTCCCAACATTGGCATGCAGTATCGTACTGTTGATGTACAGGTTCATACCCTACTTGCCGCAGCCCACAACCAGTCCAGTCATTCATTAGAAGGCACTGATGGCACATCTAAAGCTATGTTGCCTTCTTTAGTTCTGTAATTCATGTCCTATTGAATTGTGATTTATGAATGAATATTCATTACTGTGCTGACTCTTAGAACCTGAGTCCTGAGTTGACGCATTAGCAATCTAGTTAACTAATATCCAACCACAATACAATGCGGATACACGTTTGTGTGATTACGTAATTTGCATTGCCGCGCGTCCATATTTAAACTATTTTAGCTTTCTAAAAGTACGGCGCACTGCGCAGGTTGTTAAAATGACAATATAAATTCCCGCGCACCTGGCACATCTTCCTGACCATGGGGACCATTGACAGGGTGACTTCAATGACTTGGACCATTGACAGGGTGACTTCAATGACTTGGACCATTGACAGGGTGACTTCAATGACTTGGACCATTGACAGGGTGACTTCAATGACTTGGATCATTGACAAGGTGGCTTGAACCATTGACAAGGTGACTTAGACCATTGACAGGGTGACTTGGATCATTGACAAGTTGGCTTGGAAATCATTACCATAAAATGGGGTTACTCTGACTCCCAGGGTAACTTTGACCACTTTTTGTTTTTATAACAAAAACCCCCAAAACTCAAAAACTATTTGACATAGAAAAATTTTTGTCAATGGCCATTAAAGGCCTAATACTGAGGCTATGTAACACAATAGAAAGATTTAAAAAGTTTGCATATCTAATAGGTTGAAAAATTGAAAATTTGACCCACAAAAAAGAGCTATTATTCAAAGCCTGTTGGAGTACCCCCTCCAATTTATTTATTTTTTGGTAAAATAACTCCAGGTTTTGATGCATTGTAGTAGAACTCTTCTAGTTACATTTGCAAATGACAAATTTTAGGAAAGTGTCATAGTTTGCAAATGGGGCGCTGGCCCCCAATGGGGGAACTCTGGCCACCTAATGGCAGCCGTGACGGGGTAACATTGACCCGGCTTAGAAATTAAGTTAAAATTACCATATTACCATAGGTACCTATATAACATATTTTATGTTTGATACACCTATTAATGTTTTTTCTTCATGTTTCAGACTCTACAGAGTCTTATATATGGTAATTTTAACTTAGTTTCCAAGCCGGTCAATGTTACCCCGTCATGGCTGCCATTAGGCGGTCACATTTTGCTCATTGGGGGCCGGGGTGGTGCCCCCAATTTGCGAACTATGACACTTTCCTAAAATTTGTCATTTGCATACGTAACTAGAAGAGCTCTACTACAATGCACCAAAACCTGGAGTTAATATACCAAAAAATAAAATTGATTTTACCACCCAGTCAAAGAAACCCCAAGAGCCGGGGTAACAAAGACCATCACTTTTTTTGAAATTACATCAAAACTATAAGAGGCAGGAGCCAGCAATTTATGGTGAGTGAAGCTAGAGTAACTTATCTAGTAAAAAAATGGCATCATTTTGAAAAAAAAAGTGGTCAAAGTTGCCCCATTTTACAGTACTGGAATTGACAAAATTGTAGGATTTTTCAAATTGACTTGAATTTTTACATGTCAGTGCAATAATGAAGCTTAGAAACCACAGGTCCTTCCTAATTATCATGGTTTGCCTTTCTCAGCACTTAGATGCCTAGAGTATTTAGAAAAAATTGAACCATGAAAACTTCCTGCTAATTGGTTGAAAAAATTTAAAAGTTGAACCTTCAACTAAGCAATAGAACAGAACTAAAGACAAGTACCTAAGCCGAAGAGTTGGACTACGTACATAGAGCACCACCAACTCCATCTGCACCAACAAGTAAGAGGAGATAATCTGACTGCAATATTCGGACAAATGTCCCTTAGCAACGACATAACAACATGAACCATTTCCATTGCTATAAAAGTGTAAGTTGGATCACCAAAATCACCCTGTGAATTTAGGCTGCAGACTTCATTTTCTTCATTTTCATGAAATTATGAAAATGAAGAGAAATAAAATGCAAATGAAGTCATGAAAATGAAATTCATTTTCATGAATTTCATGACTTCAGTGATCAATTATTTTGTTATCTTGCATAAAAAGCACAATCTATTTTTGCTGCAGTAACATAGTATCTATTTTATCTATTATTATTACTTTTATTTAGTACTTTTCATACTAAATAGTGTGAAATTTAGTATTGAAATACTTGATTGATGACTGATTAAATCAAGCCGTTTGAAGGAACAAGCAAGTCAGCTGATCAAAGCACAACTATATAGTGCATATTTATTGGTCATTACACATATAATTTTACAATTTACATATATTGGTCATGGTGGAAGTGAAAATTATGTTACCTCTAAAATGTACTTTTTTTAATTGTTCTCTGTAGCCCACCTGTCTTCTTGCAGGGAAGTGATGAACTGTCCAGTTGGTGAAGTTAATGTGAAAATGGGTGCTGATGATGACATCAGTCAACACTCAACAGGTGATGACATGCATGATAATGAATATTTTCCTGTTTATCAATGATTTAATGATGCCTAAGTTGGCTATGTGTACCCTTATCATTTGTATGCTTGTTATGAATCATTTGGTCTCAATAATATACTAGACTTGAAATATTATTACATATGTATTTAGATTATCAAATGGAACCTGCTGAAGTCTATGAATGTGAATATAAATTAAATTTTGTACATGGATTTCAATTTGTCTAATGCAACTTCAGGAACTGTGAAGACTGAGCCTCTTTTTGAGCACAATTCAACAATCCTTAAGCGAGAAAAACTTGAAGCATTAGAAGTTGAAGAAAGGGATCTTTTTCCTCTTTTTCCTACAGACGATGTGGAGGTCAGGCTACATTTATTGTTTGTTGATCCATATACACTGTGAAGTAATATTTTCCATGTAAATTTGACTGAACAAAATGAGTTATATTTTTTAAACCATTCACTACATTCTTACCTCATGTTTACTCTGGATGTTGTAAGATGCACAGCTAAAAGTTGTGTTGTAAGTTGCACTCTCAACAATGTGCTACAGTTTATTAATTATCTCAAGCAATAGTCAAGTTATGGAAAGATCGGGTTTCAAAGGCCGGATCCCTTGTGGATCAAGTCACGAAAAATACAAGAATCGGCAACAGGCCATGGGCCTATTTCTTAAACACCGACACTTCTATTCTATCAAGACATTCAATTCTACATGCTAATTTTTATCCTATTATAGGAGTATGACGCCTACAACAACATTGCAGTGGAGGAGGAGCCTCCCAGGCAAGATGCACCTCTTGGTAAGTGTCGTCCTGAACAAATGTCAATCAATATGTGAGTAGCTAAGCTAGCAAAAATGTTCTAATAAAGCTGGAAGTTCTAATACTATGTTTTTCTTTGGTGTATATGAGATGTTATGTTCAATAAGTAGGAAAGTTCAAATATATGGTATTTGAACTTTACTACCACTGAAAAGTTAAAATAGAATATTTGAACTATTATTATTGGAATCAAATGAATATGTTCAAAATAGATAATATGGTATTTTGTCTGCTCTTTATTCAGCAGTTCCAGATTTTCAGCAGCCAAAGCCTCATGGTGGAGTTGAACATCAAGAATCTGGCCTGTCTCTCCTGAACAAAAATGCAGTGAGTTTAATTTTTGCAAACCTACTATTATCTAGTAGACTAGTACCTATATGCATGTCTTTCTTCCTTATTTGTGAATTTAGTTTCTTGGTTAGTTTATTTAGGCTGTAAACAATTCAGTTCACTTCAAATCGATAAAAAATTCAACATGAAAAAATTTTGATCATCGTACAACTCATGGGCAGGAATCTAAAGGACCTGCCTTGCGTTCGAGACTCAGGCCCTGCGCAGTTGTGATGACAGCGGCAGGCTATTCAGGCGACAGACGCACAACTACATCGACTACCAAGAAAACGACTACCAGGAAAACCAGTGCCAGGCAATCCATTACCAAGCGAACCCAGATGCGGCGAGCAACAGGTGAATCAGACTCTTCCATGCATTTGAGGCTGAGGACTCGAAAGAGCAACAGTTCAACCGAAAAACTGCTTAAAAATTCATTAAAAACACTTGAAAAGAAGCAGTATGTGTGCGTTAAATGTAAGTATGCTTTCTGGAGAAAATGCGAACTGAATAGACACGAGAGAAATCAATATGTGTGCGGTAAATGCAAGAATACTTTCTGTGGAGAACGGGCACTGAATAGACACGAGATAATTATTCATTTGAAACTAAAAACATATAAATGCTCGACATGTAACCGAGTTTTTATACGTCAACATCATCTGACAGCGCATATAACTGCAGCTGCCTGCAATTATTGATGGCCAATGCCACTCATTTGAAGCCGCGGTCCAACTGAAGTCTTTCCACCGGAAAATAATTAGTTTGTAGAGAGCAATGGAACGCTAGGACCAGGTTTTGAATGGAGTGTTTGAGACGCATTCACCATTAAACGTCAGAATAATAACAGTAAACCAAGCCATTGCCAGTACTTTTATTATTGTGCTTGATTTTAGCTCCCAACTTCGTCAGATGTGTGCAGAAAATGTAACTCTTGATTTATGGGCTTTCCATACACCATAGGATAGGAAATCATTCTTATTGCAATCTTCAATTAAACCTCAGCCCAATTCAAGGAAATCAACTATTGCTCCATTCTCAGTGTGTGTCTCAGGATAAAGGATTGAATAGTTACCCACTCATATATGCAACTTTGTGTTCCACTAATTATTAATTTTAATAAGCGGAAAGAGGCAGAAGTCTCGCATCACTTATCAACCACTAATTATTAATTTTAATAAGCGGGAAGAGGCAGAAGTCTCGCATCACTTATCAACTGAGGCTGACATTCGCATAGCATAACTATGTGTACTGTCGAATTTCAAAGTTCAAACAGCATGGATTGTTTAATGTTAAATATAACATTTACATGAGATTTCTGCGAATATTTGGCTCAAAATAAAGTTGTGCTAAAATCGGCTGTGCTTGCCAGAGGAAATCGTGCACACTTGTTTGTTTTTGAAGCTATAGTTGCTCAGGCTGTACAGCCTAGAATGTAAAGGAAGTGATGATTATTTCTTTTCCCAATTATTTTTTTAATTTTGTATTTCTACATTTAAGAGGACGAGGCTTTTAAGTAGTACATTATGTATTTGAAATTTGCGAATGGATTTATTTGGATATTCGAGAAAAATCTTGAATGTTTCATTGTGCATTATTATTTTTAATTAGAAAATAAGATTGTTACGCTATCAGGCAGGATTGCTCAAAGCACGAGAGGTATATAGTAGCTAACCAGCCATGTGTAATGATCGCGTCAGACGTTTCGGCGACTCTTTATCAAAGGAAATTTTTAATGTGAATAGTCAACAGTTTTAATGTGAATAGTCAATACCTAGTCAACGCCCAATGATCAAACGCTACATCCATAAAAAGCTCCTTTTTTAAGTCCTTAGCAATACAGAATCTATTTGCGTCAAAGTGAAACGTGCAATGCACATTACACATACGACACACAGAAAATATTCAATCACATTCATCCTTTGCTTTGCTGAATTATGATGTCAAATTGCAGCGAAATGTGCAGCAGGCTTTACCGTGCTGCAGGATCTGTACACAACTTCATTAATGAGATATACTCTTCATTTCGGGACAGTTCAAGTTTATTTTGAAGATATTAAAATGTTGACTGTTAACCTATCCCCCAGCATAGTATCTGACGGATGAAATATTGCAATTATGTTATTTTTTTAGAGCATTGTTGTTCAGGTCGCTCACCGCTGATTGGGAAACCTCTGCCCTATATCAGACGCTTAATTTTTCAATAGCATTGTGGTGTAAATTTATTAAAAATACAAGAGTAATAAACAGTTAAGTTTGGCAATATTTTTCAATTTTTTGCTTAACATGAGGATAAATTGTGAAGGCTTATTCATGGATTTTCTCTTTGTTTTATTCATTAAACTTTTCCAAGTATTCATTTGCTGTGATTGCTCCTATTGCCAATAAAAGTTTATTAATCGAACAGTTTGCTTGGAAATTCACAGCAAATTTAGTACTCCTGCAATCAACCAAATGTTTCGATTTTGGATTAAAAACGGAATGCAAGTCAGAATCGGCGCGTTTTTCTCCAGAATCGGCGAGCACGAAAAAACTGGAGCAGCGAGTTGCGTGTTTCGAGACCCGCAACAAGCTCTGAATGTTCTGCGATGTTTAGAATCAGCGACATGTCTAGCGGCCTAATCAACTCTCAAACAAATATTAATATTACTAATGAACAAGACACTTTATTATACTAAGAACAACGTTCAAGACATCATTGGTTGTGAGGTCTTCACATGAAATCAAACACAGAATTCGATGAGGGGATGTTATTTTTTTGCTGATCTTCGAACCGTGCGAGAATTTTCCTACAATATAACTTTAATCAAATACTATCAATTCATATTAACATCAAATTTTCAATTCTGCGTACCGAAATTTTCTATCAAAAGTCGTAATAAATTTGCCCAACATTTCAACAACTCAGTTAGCAATTCCATACGATAAATTTTTTGTTTGTTTCGGTAAGGAAAACTTTTCATTTATAACTCCCCACTCCCTGAACTTCTTTAATTAAATCCTTAGAAGTTTTCATTCACTTGAATTGTGCAGTCGGGCCATGCAGGAGGAAATTAAAATGAAATCGCACTTTGAAATCATTTTTATATTGTCTGAAGTTAGCGATAAGAAATACATTACTGTACAGTTGAAGCGGAGGCCACCTGGATGACGCGTTTAAAAGCGATATCTTTTATCATTATCTAAAGCATTATCAATATATCAATCACGTTTGTAACAAGTTGACATACCGTACCCAGGCATAATATTCATAACCTTATTTACATTATATCATGACGATCATTTAAGCTCTTAATAAGATTTAGCAACATTTCTATACAGGGGAAACAAAATAGGTTGAAAGGCAATTATCAACAAAGTCATGTACATTAGATTGAAACCATCAAGTGATTAAATTAAACTCAATGAGGGCATTCCTATTAACAATTCAGTGCCCGGACACACTATATATTAATTCAGTATATTGGTTACACTACATAATATCTTGTATATCGACTCTTGTTCTGTTCGACTGTACTGATCGAAATAGAGCACCGGGACGTTAAGAGTTTAAGATAAGGATAAAAGGATAGCCTATAAGGATAGCCTTTGTGAGAATAGCCTTAAACGATAGCCTCAGTGACGATAGCCTTGAAGGATAACCTATATTGAGGATAGCCTGCGGCGAAGATAGCCTACAGCGAGGACAGTTTTAGCGGATAGCCTCAATGTATACATTAAGGGTAGCATGAAAGGATAGCCTGCGCTGAGGATATCCTAAGGCTTGTCAAGAGGCTCGCTGCTTAGTAAACTGCTCAGCAGTTTAGAGGATTCAACGCTTGTGGTCATGGCGGGGGTGAACAGATGAAAGCCTTCCTGTTGCTGCTGTTGATGCATCAGCTGTTGCAACTTTTGCTGTGGTAACTGTTGCTGTTGTTGCTGCTGTTGTTGCTGTTGTTGCTGCTGTTGATGTTGCATCTGTTCCTGTTGCATCTGTTGCTGTTGTTGCTGTTGCTGTTGTTGCATTTGCTGCTGTTGTTGTTGCTGTTGTTCTTGCTGTTCTTCTTGTTGCTCGCCAGTCTGTTGCTGCTGTTCTGTTTCTGTTTGTGTTAGGACGTGTCCCTCCTGTTGGAGGGGAGGCGCCAGGGAGAAGGGGAGGGGGGCGACCGTGGCCCCCACCAGCGGGTTGCTGGCGCTCTGTGGGCGGGGAAATTGTGAGCAAACTCAGGGAAATTTAACACGGGAATTAAATGCTGGAGATTGTGATACAAATTCACGCGAACTCTGCACAGTCTCAGTCTCACCTTGCCCAGTCTCACGCGAGTCTCAGTCTCACCCTGCACAGTCTCAGTCTCAACTAGCCCAGTCTCACGCGCGTCTCTGTCTCACCTTGCCAGTCTCATCTTGCCCAGTCTCACGCGAGTCTCTGTCTCACCTTGGCCAGTCTCACGCGAGTCTCAGTCTCACCTTGCCCAGTCTCACGCGAGTCTCTGTCTCACCTTGCCCAGTCTCACGCGAGTCTCTGTCTCACCTTGGCCAGTCTCATCATGCCCAGTCTCACGCGAGTCTCAAGTCTCACCTTGCCCAGTCTCACGCGCGTCTCAGTCTCACCTTGCCCAGTCTCACGCGAGTCTCAGTCTCACTTGCACAGTCTCAGTCTCAACTAGCCCAGTCTCACGCGCGTCTCTGTCTCACCTTGGCCAGTCTCATCTTGCCCAGTCTCACGCGAGTCTCAAGTCTCACCTTGCCCAGTCTCACGCGCGTCTCAGTCTCACCTTGCCCAGTCTCACGCGAGTCTTAAGTCTCACCTTGCCCAGTCTCACGCGAGTCTCAGTCTCACCTTGCCCAGTCTCACGCGAGTCTCAGTCTCACCTTGCCCAGTCTCACGCGAGGCCCAGTCTCACGCGAGTCCCAGTCTCACCTTGCCCAGTCTCACGCGAGTCTCAGTCTCCTGTGCCATGCTGAGGGCGGGCAGGCGCGGCGTGGCCTGGGGCTGCGACTCTTCCTCCAGGAAGCGCACGAACGCTTGCGACAGCGACTGAGGGGAGACGATAATTATTAATATTATAATATTTATTATTGCGATTTGTTAATGGAAATTAGTGCAAGTTATTACCTAAAATCAGTGCGAGATATCAACTAAACTTATATATGTCGTGCCGAAATCAGGGAATTACCAGTTGCCAAATCGGAAGCCAGTTGCCAAATCTGTAGAATCATCATTTCGTTGCTTATACAGAAAATCGGACGTTAGAGTTAGAAAAGGTTAGGTCAAGTTCCCTTACATTCAAATATTTAAATAAATAATAACCTGGCTGACAGACTTAACCCCAGATTCCTTCCTGCTGATTCTATAGAATTAGCAATACCGTGATTTCGGCACGACATATATACAGCGAATTATTCAACAGAATAATGGACGTATTACCGAAACGATACGTACAATGAACTATATAGCATTAGTGTGAGGGAAAGCTCGCTATAAATTTACTTTCCGCTAAACTTACACGTCACGTCTTGCGTGCCGGCAAACTTGCCGCACTGCTATCTCAGTCGTGGAAGAACGCGCACTTGCCGCTCCTCGTTTTGCTGTTTAGCCGGTACGCCGGTGGGCCTGCTTGGTAGGTCGCCGACATTTCTGGCGACCTTCCCAGGGGCATGGTTGATCCTCTCGGTACTGTTGTTGGAAATGTCGGGGCAGGCCTCCAAGGCCGCCCCGCCAAGACCGTTGCAGGAAGTCGTGGAGGAACGCGCACTTGCCGCTCCTCGTTTTGCTGTTTAGCCGGTACGCCGGTGAGCCTGCTTGGTAGCACTGACCACGTTACCTCCGGAGCCCTTGTTGTATTTCTCTCCGAGTCTGCTGGAGCTATCTAGTCTACGCGGGCCTGCTTCGTCGCGTCAGCGTTCGTACAACTCTTGAGCTGGCAAACCTCAAGTTGAGTTGGGCGCTGCGTGTGTGTTTTCAGTCCGTGAATGACCTAAGGAGGAGCCGACTTGAAGCAGCCTAAACTTAGTTCCGTTTATCTCGTACTTGTTTACAGTTTGAATATAGTTTAACGTAACGTAATAGGTAGGCACGTACCGCGCCTATTCTTTGTGCCATCAACTTTAAGTTCTTTAAAGAGATTATACCTTTACTTAGTAAAGTTTTGAGACTTGTAAGCTTTTGTCCTTCCTTCCTGCAACGGCCTTGGAGGCCTGCCCCGACATTTCCAACAAAAGTACCGAGAGGATCAACCATGCCCCTGGGAAGGTCGCCAGAAATGTCGGCGACCTACCAAGCAGGCCCACCGGCGTACCGGCTAAACAGCAAAACGAGGAGCGGCAAGTGCGCGTTGCTCCACGACTGAGATAGCAGTGCGGCAAGTTTGCCGGCACGCATGACGTGACGTGTAAGTTTAGCGGAAAGTAAATTTATAGCGAGCTTTCCCTCACAATTACACTGGGCATTCGGGCTGTCACTAGACCGCCACCCACCGCCTGGTCCAGCAAGTCCACTACCCGCNAGTCTCACCTTGCCCAGTCTCACGCGAGTCTCAGTCTCACCTTGGCCAGTCTCACGCGAGTCTCAGTCTCACCTTGCCCAGTCTCACGCGAGTCTCACCTTGGCCAGTCTCACGCGAGTCTCAGTCTCCTGTGCCATGCTGAGGGCGGGCAGGCGCGGCGTGGCCTGGGGCTGCGACTCTTCCTCCAGGAAGCGCACGAACGCTTGCGACAGCGACTGAGGGGAGACGATAATTATTAATATAATAAATTAATATTTATTATTACGATTTGTTAATGGAAATCAGTGCAAATTTTTACCTAAAATTACTGCGTCATAAATTACTAGACCGTCACTAGTCACTAGCCACTAGACCGCCACTAGCCACTAAACCCACCGCCTGGTCCAGCAGGTCCACTCTGCTGGTGACGCGCACGTTGGACGCCGGCGGCGCCAAGAAGTCACCCAGGGACGCCAGCCACCCCCGCCCTCCTGGAAGGGGGAGGCACGTTAATAATTGTTATTATGTTAATTAAATGAATAATATTATATAATTTAATAATTATATCAACAACGTAGCACCAAAGGCACTTTAGGACATTGAACCCCATCACCCAGCAGCCCCCCAGCTTCACTTTGTAGAATGAAACCTATACTGTTCTGAATGTCTTTTTAATAAATAAACCCGACGTTTTTGCGATGTTGCCGGATTGACCCTAAAGTCCGGGTTAGTAGCCACTAATAGCCTTATTCTGTTTGCGCCACCGCAGGGAACAGGTGTGTACCGTCTTCTTATTACCGGATATTTTAAAGTAGGACCAGTGCTAATGTCTTTATTTAATGATCTTGCAGTTAAGTGTGTGAAATTATAACTGTCCATGTTTACGTTTCAGGAACTCTTGGAAAGCTTTATTATGTGTTTATGGCTTGTACAATTTGTAAACATAGCCGTAATGTTCATCTCTCATACAGGGAGACCTTCGAAGCCTAGACTCGACTTCGATTCTTACACACTTGTTGTCATCTTACGTTTATATGAAATCTTAATATTTGGTCATCTTTGCTTCCTTCATGCGATGAACTGCGAGAAGCGTGTCGAACCTGAAGAGTTATTGCGGAATAGGTCATGGTTTTGAATTACGCCCTGGCAATAAGGGCCTCGTAACAACGTTCAGACCCCAACACCCACAAGTCCCCTAGACCCCCCAGTGTCACCATACCGTAAAAATATAACTCAGTACTCACTGCAGTCGTCGACGAAAACGTGAAGTCACGGACGGACAGACAAACAGACGGATATGACGAGCACAATAGGGAATTTTTTCCACAAATGAGAAAATTCGCTAAAAAGAGGTACCGTAAGTTCCGTTTTAGATTCCTAGTCAGAACCAACCCAACAAAAATGGGATAACGTTCAGGATTCTTTCCAAGTCACTACACTCGGCTTGGAGTTATTCTATGTCTGCTTGCCAGCTCTAACAAAATTAAATTATCGTCAGAATCTTCTTTCCGATTTTATAGACACCTGGGAGTATGAAAAAGCCTAGCCAAGTATAATGCCGAGCTTGCCAGCTGCCCAGAGGCTGCACTTCAGGCTCGGCCGAGGCGGACATTAGCGGCTGATTTACGCGCTCCCCGAGTCCTGGGCGGCACTCTTTGCAATCAGGGGCCGTATTATCAAAACTTCGTAAGTACGCAAAATCGACTTACGAGTGGCGTTGCTATGACAACGTAATACTAGCGGTGGTATTATAAAAACATTTGCGCGGGAAAAACATTTACGCTTTTAGCTAAGACTTGCGTACGAAAATTTTGATAATGCCAAAATTAGGGTGTATTTACGTACCACATAACTTTTTTGTCGTAAGTACAAAAAGTTACGAAGTTTTGATAATCCGGCCCCATGTCCGCATCCTATTTTTTTAGGGCGCAGGCGGGGAGTTTGGTACCAACGCACACAACTAAAATGTTACTACATGAACAGGTAATTTATTTCCTTAATGCAAAGGCCAGAATCATTGACGTAAATGACAGGGAAAATTATTTGCTAACAACCAGCTAGTGGAAAATAATAAAAATAGGAACTAATTGACAACGAATTAGTAAAGTTATTAATATAGTAAATAATAATAAATTAGTAAAGTTAGGATAAATTTAGTTGTCGCCAGGCACTAGTCACTAGTCTACTCACTAGTCACTAGTCTACTCACTTGTCTATGCGCGTGTCTGCCCCAGACTTGAGTTCTGCCAGCTGCCGTCTGCTGTGCTGCAGCTGCTCCAGGTGCCGTCCAGCTGCAGGTTACAGTTACTATTACGTTACAAAAAAAGAATCTTTACTATCCTGTTATCAGGAACAAATTTTGTGTCATATTCACGTAAATATACCATGATGCATCAGTGATACTTGTCACTGTTGGTCGCAGCAACACATAATACATGGTGCAATTCCATGGTGAATCTAATGCTTGGTGTAACAGCAGGATTCCTAACAAAATTCGGGTAACGCCCAGGCTTCTGCCAAGAGTCGCTACACTCGCTTAAAATTATTCTGTGTCTGCTCGGCCACCTGATCGAACTCAGCTTCTAATCAGACTCTCTTTCTTGACTTTATAGTGTATTGAGAGTGTGACAAGTGTGTCCTGAGAGTATGACAAGTGTGTCCTGAGAGTATAACAGGGTTGGCTCGGCTGAGTTCCGCCGAGTTTGCAAGCTGCCCAGAGGCTGCACTTCAAGCTCGGCCGAGGCGGACATTAGCGGCTGATTTACGCGCTGCCCGAGTCCTGGGCGGCACCTGGTGCACCATCGCCATGACACGAACGACCGAGCGCGTTACACCTATAAGGATGTTCTGGAAACATTTCCTTTGTTGCCCTGCAGGATGGTGTGCAGGATGGCAGGCAGGATGGTGTGCAGGATGGCAGGCAAGATGGTAGGCAGGTCGACGTACAGGATGGTATGCTGGTCGACGCATAGGATGGCAGGCAGGTCGACGTGCAGGATGGCAGGCAGGATGGCAGGCAGGACGACGTGCAGGATTGTATGCAGGACGCATGCGAAAAGACATGCAGGACGACATGCAGGCTATGCAGGACCAGCATTACACAGGCACTGGTCACTAGAACTACCAGTACCTGATGTAATACTCAGCCCGCACACCCCTCACTAGCACACTAGTGCTTCACTAGTAGGATACTGATGCATACTAGTAGGCTACTCACAACTATTATTGGTACTACTAGTTGATCCAATGGCAATTGGCAACTCTAATCCACTAACTACCATCCATGCAAGAGACATTCACTAGCACACTAGTGCCACACTAGTATGATACTCACGATCACTTACGAATCATTATTGGTAGTACTAGTTGATCCAGCGCTTACAATGGCAAATAGTCACTCTAGTTCCACTTGTCCGATGTCAATCTGGCGTCTCATTATAAGCATTATATTGTATGTGATTGAGACGTAATATTCACTTGACCTGATAGAGACTGATGACGAGTCAACGTCTGGAAGACACGCACGTGATAGATCACGTGATCAAGAATCTAGTTGTGGGCGGAAGCCAGAAGCCTATATAAGGTCTAGCAACCTTAAGTAAGGCCCCGCAGTAGTCGATAAGCTACGGCGTCAACCGTAAGGTCGGAGAACTCTACCGACACGATAGAACGCGGAACGCTTATCAACTACTGCGGGGGTTTTACTAATGTTGCTAGCCCTTATATAGCCTTCGCTTCCGCCCACTACTAAGGTCTTGGGCTTTTCTTAAGATTGCTAGCCCTTATATAGGCTTCGCTTCCGCCCACTTCTAAGGTCTTATGCTTTTCTTAAGATTGCTAGCCCTTATATAGGCTTCGCTTCCGCCCACTACTAAGGTCTTGGGCTTTTCTGAAGATTGCTAGCCCTTATATAGGCTTCGCTTCCGCCCACTACTAAGGTCTTGGGCTTTTCTTAAGATTGCTAGCATTTATATAGGCTTCGCTTCCGCCCACTACTAAGGTCTTGATCGCGTGATCTATCACGTGTCTATCAGATGTTGACTCGTCCACAATATCTATCAGGTCAAGTGAATATTGCGTCACAATTACATACAATAATAATGATTATAATGAGACGCCCGATTGACATCGAACACACTAGCTAATATCCATGCACTAGATGTGTAAACTAAGCTTATTTATAGAAAGAACAGGATTAGGTTAACATTTAGGGATACACTAGTTAAACTAGTGACATCGTAGGTCATGCAGCATTGTAAGTACGAAATATTTAGAAAACTATGTAAAATATTCAAAATAATGGCAAGATCAGAGATTAGTGACACTAACACTATAACAATTGTGGTGAGATTAGTAACCTGGAACTAGCACTAGCATTGCAGTTATTAGAAGAGTCTAGTTCAGTCTACTAGTGAACGCATGCTGGGCGCATCACTAGAACCTATAGTAACGAGTCACAAAGATGGAAAATATACAGTATGTACATTTAGTAATTACGAATTAAAATAAATTCAACTATGCATGTTGAACAATATACAAGGTATTATTTTTATAATTATCACACATACTTGTATTGTAAGTATATGTATATAAGTACGTATATAATATATTACACATATATTCGTTCACCATACAAGCCACACAGGCAGCAGTGCTCATCTGAAGAGAAATTTGTATTTTTACATTGGTTTTACAATGTGTGTTAAGATGCATACTGTACAATATACATAATTTGAATACCGTACTTTTTATGTGTATGTACGAACTCAAACTTTACACACAACATAATTAACAGAATATGACATGAACAGTCTTATTTATATCATATTCTGAAATAATATTCATAAAACATAATTTCATTATTATTATATTAAATATTATTTCAATAAAAAATATTATTTACTTTTTATTAAATATATATATTTATTCAAATTTATTATTACATATTATTTTCAAAAGAAATACCGCGAATTCCACGTAAATAAAACAGGGAACAACAGCATGGACATGATATTTAACATAAATTTATTTACAGCATGAAATTGATTCGCGGCTTCAGCATGACGACGATTTTTGCAGAAAATTCAGCATGCAGATGAATTATCAGTGTGAGGTTGTCAGCATGAAGTCAATTATCGACACGCTGAATAATGTTGATCATGCCGGTGAATTATATCAGCATGCAGATGTGTTGTCAGCATGATGGGAAGTCAGGGCACAGCAGAAGGGGATCTCCCTCAGCATGCTGAGCAGCATGCAACGCTCAGCATTACGGAGTGAGATTTGCTCCTGCCGTGCAAACTCATGCTAGCTCGTGCATCACACTAACTGGGGCATCACACCATCACTCTAACTGGTGCATCACACTAACTGGTGTGAGAAAACGTGTAGGTAATCATTTAAAAATCATGTTTTTGTGTACACAGTGTTTGTAATAAGAAAAAATACGTCAAATAAGAGCCAGGTAATACACCAAATAAGAGCCAGGTATGACACCAAATAAGAGCCAGGTAATACACCAAATAAGAGCCAGGTAATACACCAAATAAGAGCCAGGTAATACACCAAATAAGAGCCAGGTAATACACCAAATAAGAGCCAGCTAATACACCAAATAAGAGCCAGGTAATACACCAAATAAGAGCCAAGTAATACACCAAATAAGAGCCAGGTATGGCACCATGGTCCCAATAAAAGCAGGTGCAGGGGCAGAGCAGCAGGCCAATAACAGCAAGCACGTTGATGCTCTTAACACGTCAACCTTACCTGCTGATATTAGCCCGCCACCCGCAACAACAGTCATTGATATAAATAACAGCATTCAAATACAAGTACAAAATAATAGTAGCACGCAAAATAAAAGTAGATGTAGAATTAATACAAATTAAAATAACATGGGTGCAAAAACTGGAATAACTGCATGTAATAGCAGCAGTGTCAAAAATAACAGTTATGAAAAAAACTTCAAAAAATAACAAAATCTTCAAAAATAAGTTATGCAAAAAAACAATAACATAAATAACTGTATTATCAAACTCTGTTAATAACAACTCGACAGAACAAGAGCAGCCACCCACCTTGTGCTTGCAGCTGCTGCATCTGTTGCTGCTGTTGTTGTACCTTAGCATCTGCAGCCCGCAGCTGCGCCTGCAGCTGCTGCACCTGCTCCACCTGCACCTGTAACCGTTACAGCTGCTAGAGCTCATGTACACATGGAAAAATAAGCGAGACTGTCCTAAAAATTGATGCATTTCTGGCCATACGTGGGTCGGTCGTCCTTACCAAGTTTGGATCAGCAGAATGCCGTATCAGAGCTAAAATGTGTCATTATTTTATCAAATTAACCTATATATTTTTCCTGCTGCTATGGCACATCTGCCAAGCAGTTACAGTTGCGCATCTCATCCAGGCCCTATCAAAATTCGGGTACCGCCCAGGCTTCTAACCAAGAGTCGCTACACTCGGCGCAAAGTTATTCTGGGTCTGCTGGCCACCCGATCGTAATCAGCTTCTGGTCAGAATCTCCTTCTTGACTTAATTAACAGTCGCCTGAGTGTAAGAAAAGTGTGTTTAGAGAGTAAAAAAAGATTGTTCAGAGAGTAAAGAAAGATTGTTCAGAGAGTAAGTAAAAATTTTTAGAGAGTGATTAAAAAGTGTTCGGAGAGTAAAAGAAAAATTGGCCGGGCCGAGTCATGCTGAGCTTGCCAGCTGCTCAGAGGCTGCACTTCAAGCCCGGCCAAGCAGACATTAGCGGCTGATTTACGCGCTCCCCGAGTCTTGGGCGGCACCTGGTGCAGAGTCGGGCCAGCTTCTAAATTTTGTTATAGTATCCCCCAGCTCCCCCTCTCTCACCTGGAGCTCCCCCAGCTCCCCCTCTCTCACCTGGAGCTCCCCCATACGGCTGGTAAGAGCTGCGTTGTTCTCTCTCTCTCGCCGCAGCTGTCGTCTCTCTCTTTCTACAGCCTCAGCTGTTGCAGCTGTTTGCTGCAGCTGCAGCTCCTGCAGCACCTGCACACACAACAGCTGTATCACTACAGCTGCTACAAGAGCTGACATACAAACATTTGTAGCCCGAGCAACTTGAATCGTAGTCTTATTTTCTGCCATATTCGTCATAGAATATTAAACAATTTTTTATACAGCTGCATTATACATAGCGTCCTATGAGAATTAAATATTATCCATATTATACATGTTATACATATTATGTGCTGCATGATAAATTTGAATAATAAAATTATTTACTTTAATGATGCAATTTAAAATCAAAAAAGAATGTTTTTAATAAATGTAAAAATCAAAAGAATCAAAAATTCAGAAAATAAAAAAAAATTCACCTGCTGCAGAGTGGAAGCAGCTGTAGCTGCAGCTGTTTTCTCCTCGTCCAGCTGCTGCAGCCGTATGTTGAGCTCCTCTCTCTGCAGCTGTAGCCGCTGCACCTCCTGCTGCAGCTGCTCCACGGTGCTGCTGGTGCGCTCACTGCAGGTGCATATACAGCTGTTAACAGGTGCTTATACAGCTGTTAACAGGTGCATATACAGCTGTTAACAGGTGCATATACAGCTGTTAACAGGTGTTATACAGCTGTTAACAAGTGCTTATACAGCTGTTAACAGGTGCTTTGCTCTGGGCAGGTGCATAAACAGCTGTTAACAGGTGCTTTTCCAGGTGTAGCTGCTGTATTCACTTACAGCTGCAGACTTTTCATTAAGCAAATTTAGCATCATGTTGTTGTGACCATCCATACAGCTGTTACAGCTGCTAAAATAAATGATATCAGCAAACTTAATCACATCACTAAAACAGTTACAGCTGTTACAGTTACAGCTGTTACAGCTGCTACAATAAATAAAATAACCATACTTATCACATAAGTACAGCTGTTACAGCTGTAACATCTGTTACAGCTGTAACAGCTCACCTGGTAGCGCTGAACAGCTGCGAATGTGCCTGCAGCTTCTCCTGCAGCTGCGTGTTGGCAGCTGTAAGCAGCTGTATCTGCTGCTGCGCCTGCAGCTGCTGCTCGTCGTGCTGCTCCTGCAGCTGCAGCAGGTGCAGCTTTAACCGCTGCAGCTCCTGAGCTGACTTGGCGTCTCTGGCGCGTACAGCTGCAACCTGAGCAGATGTATAGTGCAGCTGATTAGTACAGCTGCACTATGTGCAGCTAGCTCACAAGTAGTCTCACTAGTCATTAGTCTCACTAGTCACTAGTCTTACCACACTAGTCACTAGTCTTACCACACTAGTCGCTAGTCTCACCTCACTAGTCCCACTAGTCACTAGTCTCACCTCACTAGTCACTAGTCTCACCTCACTAGTCACTAGTCTCACCTCACTAGTCGCTAGTCTCACCTCACCAGTCCCACTAGTCACTAGTCTCACCTCACCAGTCACTAGTCTCACCTCACTAGTCCCACTAGTCACTAGTCTCACCTCACTAGTCACTAGTCTCACCTCACTAGTCACTAGTCTCACCTCACTAGTCGCTAGTCTCACCTCACCAGTCCCACTAGTCACTAGTCTCACCTCACCAGTCACTAGTCTCACTAGTCACTAGTCTTACTAGTCACTAGTCTCACTAGTCACTAGTCTTACTAGTCACTAGTCTCACTAGTCACTAGTCTCACCTCACTAGTCCCTAGTCTCAACTCATTACTCACTAGTCTCACCTCACTAGTCCCTAGCCTCACTAGTCACTAGTCTCACCTCACTAGTCACTAGTCGCACTAGTCACTAGTCTCACCTCACTAGTCACTAGTCGCACTAGTCACTAGTCTCACCTTACTAGTCCCACTAGTCACAAGTCTCACCTCACTAGTCACTAGTCTCACCTCACTAGTCACTAGTTCCACCTCACTAGTCACTAGTCCCACTAGTCACTAGTCTCACTAGTCACTAGTCTCACCTCACTAGTCGCACTAGTCACTAGTCTCACCTCACTAGTCACTAGTCTCACCTCACTAGTCACTAGTCCCACTAGTCACTAGTCTCACCTCACTAGTCACTAGTCTCACCTTAATAGTCACTAGTCTCAACCCACTAGTCACTAGTCTCACCTCACTAGTCTCACTAATCACTAGTCTCACCTCACTAGTCCCACTAGTCACTAGTCTCACCTCACTAGTCACTAGTCTCACCTCACTAGTCACTAGTCTCACCTTACTAGTCACTAGTCTCAACCCACTAGTCACTAGTCTCACCTCACTAGACTCACCTCACTAGTCCCACTAGTCACTAGTCTCACCTCACTAGTCTCACCTCACTAATCTCACCTCACTAGTCCCACTAGACACTAGTCTCACCCCACTAGTCACTAGTCTCACCTCACTAGTCTCACCTCACTAATCTCACCTCACTAGTCCCACTAGACACTAGTCTCACCCCACTAGACACTAGTCTCACCTCACTAGTCACTAGTCTCCCTAGTCACTAGTCTCACCTCGCTAGTCACTAGTCTCCCTAGTCACTAGTCTCACCTCACTAGTCACTAGTCTCACCTCACTAGTCACTAGTCTCACTAGTCACTAGTCTCACCTCACTAGTCCCACTAGTCTCACCTCACTAGTCATCTCCTGGTACTGCTCATTGAACTGGCTGTTGGCCAGCACCAGCTGCTCGATTTTGTCCTCGTTGACCCCGGTGTGGCTTTGCTGCTCAGCCAGCTGGCTTTTTTCCAATTCAGTTTGCGCCAGTTTTTCAGCCAGTTGGCTTTTGTCTTCAGCCAGTTTTTTAACTTGGTCTGCCATTCGCCGGTTATCGTCAGCCAGTTCCGCCATTTGGTCAGCCAGTTGTGTTTTTTCATCAGCCAGTTTCCCGATTTGGTCTGTCAGCTGGCTTTTTTCATCAGCCAGTTTTCCGATTTGGTCTGTCAACTGGCTTTTCTCTTCAGCCAGTTTCCCGATTTGGTCAGCCAACTGGCTTTTTTCTGTCTCGTCAGCTTGGGCTTTGGCTGACACCTGGCAGGAATAGAATTTGAAATGAAGCCGTGAAATTATATGAATTATCGTATTAAATTTTTATTATAAACTACGACTGGAAACGAAAAAATTTGCGTGTAACGAAAAATGAACGCACTAATGAAATTGATCAATTAAGGAGAGCGTCTGGGTGCCCGAGAAACTTTTTTATTTACGAACGGATCGCTTTGAAATTCGGTACACGCATGTAAAACAGAAATCTAAAACTTTTTTGTTCCTGTGAATTTTTCAAGAAAATAAAAGAAAACGTGAAATTCTTAGAAAACGGCCAAAAAGGGGGTACCGTAAAAATCTATCTCCTAGGGTTTTCAAGCTACAACATCGAGACGCATATTGTTCGATGCGTAAAGACTGTACCATCTATAAAACGATCTAGATTTTTTTTAATTCTCATTTTTGTGGTTGTGGGAGCATTTTTCGTAATTTTTTCGGTAATTTTTTTATTTTACCCCCTTTTTACCTTTTTGCGGAATAAAATCCAAACAATAACGAAATTAGAAAAACGACTAGAAAATTTTGTAGATTTTTTCTTTACGAATCGAATGGCATATGTCTCATTGTTGTAGCTTCAAAACTCTAGGAGGAGATAGGTTTTCCGTGACAATAAGTCAACTGTTGAGGAGAGCGCGACAAAGTCCCGCGCGCATCGCAATAGGCACTCAATGTAGCGAGGATACCAAACTAAACGTTACTGGAGCTTGATTCCAGTCAAGGATGGTGGGAGCGACTGCATGCACACCTCCTCATGTGACGCCAGGCGGGTAACTAAGGTGCACCTCAAGCAGACACTCTATTTAAAGTGCTCGGCAGCTAATTTTCCTGTATCTTAAATGTTAAAGAACTCCCCCACCTCCCACCCTTCCGGGATCTGTCGTGAACGCATAAATCAACGTACAGAGATGCTTTTGGTACCGTTGGATAGAGCAGAATGTCAGCTTTAAGACGAGACTGAAAACTGGAAAAGCCAAAATTTCGATTTTGGACCCAGACGCTCCCCTTAAAGAACTAATGAAAACGATTGTTATGGATGAAAATGATGTCAATTAGTATAATTTATTATTATTATTATAATTGTTATAATTATTATATATATAATAAATAATTTTAATGAGTGATTGAATTAAATAGATTTAAATATACCCTACAATTTATGTATTATTTAGTATTATTCAATTTAATTTTATTATTTAATTATTTAATATTATTTACTATACCTGCAGCAGACGCTGCAGCTCTGCATGATAAGCCAGACTCTCTGCGTGCTTCTGCTGCAGAGCAGACACAATCTGCAGACGCTCCTCCTGCAGACTAACTTTCTCTGCCGTAACTTTCTGCAGCTCTTCCTGCAGACTAACTTTCTCTGCCGTAACTTTCTGCAGCTCTAACTTTCTCTGCCGTAACTTTCTGCAGCTCTTCCTGCAGACCAACTTTCTCTGCCGTAACTTTCTGCAGCTCCTCCTGCAGACTAACTTTCTCTGCCGTAACTTTCTGCAGCTCCTCCTGCAGACTAACTTTCTCTGCCGTAACTTTCTGCAGCTCCTCCTGCAGACTAACTTTCTCTGCCGTAACTTTCTGCAGCTCCTCCTGCAGACTAACTTTCTCTGCCGTAACTTTCTGAATTTCTTCTTCCAACTGAAGTTTCAGTTGGGAAAGTTCGTGCGTTTCACTGGACAGTTTCATCAGTTGGGGTCCAGTTTCAAGTTTTTGTTGCTCAGTTGCTTGCAGTTGGGCAGTCACGTGTTTCAGTTGTTCTTCAGTTTCTTTCAGTTGCTTTTCAGTTTCGTTCCGTTGCTTTTCAGTTTCGTTCAGTTGCAGTTTCAGTCCCTCAACAGTTTCTTTCCAACTGGTTTCAGCTGCCACTATCTTATCAGTTTCACTCCTCAGTTTTTCCATCAGTTGGCAGTTATCTTGAGCCAGTTTCGCGGTCTCCAGTTTCATGGCCTCCAGTTTCTTTGCGTTTTCTTCATTAACTTTGATCAGTTGTTCTTTCTCTTGCTCAGTTGCTTTCAGCTGCAGCTGCAATTCCTGTTTCAGTTGCATTTCAGTTGCTTCAGTTGCAGCAAAATACGTAGCAGCGATTCTCGCTTCTGCAGCTTCCAACTGATCTGCTAAATACTTCTTATCAGTTGTCAGTTGGGACACCTGATCTTCAGTTGCTTTTAATTCACGCATCAGTTCGCTAATTCTAGCCGAAACAACTGTTCCTTCTAACTGGTCTCCATCAGTTGGAACCGTAGAGCCTGTTATACCTAACTCATTATCAGTTGTAATAGAATTATTTATATCTTCTAATAGTTTTCCATCAGTTGTCCCGGCACCAGCAGTTGTTTTCGTCAGTTTTTCGTCTTCAATTGCATTTTCGTGCATCAGTTGTGAACTCTGGCTCTTTTCCAGTTGCATTTTAGGCTCCAGTTGGGAAACTTTATTACGTATATCATCACAAATATCCTTGAAGCACCTGTGGATAGTTTCCACCTGGAACAACTGGCCCAGTTGGACCAGTTCATCCCGCAGTTCGTCAAACTGATCTTTTTTGTATATCAGTTGCATTTCTAGCGACTGTTTCTCCAGGTTCAATACCTCCATGGAGCGACGTAACTCCTCCTTTTCTTCTTCAACTTTCCTTTCCTTTCCCTCCACTTTCCTAACGCCACTTTCACCGGTCAAGGCACTTTCTTCGTCACGTTTAATTAGGGAAAGTTGCGCTGAATTTTTTATTTCAGTTTCCCCGAATTCCGTTTGAATTTCAGATGAATTTTGCAAAACAACTTTTCTGCTGTTATCGCTGCTGCTGTTGGCGCTGTTATCGCCACAACTGTTGTAATTACTGTTGTTGTTTTTACCACAGTTGTTATCGCTGTTGCTGTTTGCACTGTTATCGCTGCTGCTGTTTGCACTGTTATCGCTGCGGCTGTTTGCACTGTTATCGCTGCGGCTGTTGTAATTGCTGTTGTTTTTACCAGAGCTGTTCTCGCTGTTATCGCCATGTCTGTTCTCGCTGTTATCGCCATGTCTGTTATCAGCATCGTCCTCCTCAGCGATGGTGGGCAGCAGCCTGCCGACAACAGGAGGCTGTTACACCAACAGAAAACAGGGGGATAATTGTCCAAATATCGATGTACTTATCACACTTGTATGGGTCACTCTGACTCAGTTTGGCCCGACAAAAAATTATATCAGTGTCCGCTCTCTGCTCTTGCTGAGCGTCTGGGTCCCAGACAAACTTTTTTAATTACGAAACTTTAAAATTTTTTAAGATTAACTTCATCTTTAACTTTAAACTTTTTTAATTACGAAGCAGAAAACTTTTTTTAAACTTGGACTTTCGGACTTGGACTTAAACTTATTTACGGACGGATCACTTTGAAACTTGGTAAACATATGTAAAACAGGAACCTAAGACTTTATTGTTCGTGTCAATTTAAAAAAAATGATATTTAAACGGCAAAAAAGGGTACACTGTAGAAATCTATATCTATCTACTCCTAGGATTTTCAAGCTACAACATCGAGACGCATATCATATGATACGTAAAGACCATATCTATCGATTTATCGTAGCTTTTATCGAAGTTCTCATTTTTTTGGATGGGGGGTTTTTTCGTAATTTTTTTTATTCCCCCCCCCTTTTTCAAAATATTTTCATAACTATAACACATTTGAGAAAAAGCTACGACCAATCTCTAGATCTTTTCTTTGCAAATCTAATGGTATATTTCTCAGTTATTTATCTTCAAAACTGTATGCGGAGATAGGTTTGCAGTGAGAGGAAGTGCGAGTGTTCAGCAGAGCCGAATAACCGCCGACCGGTTTTCCGCGCACTATAAACATTTATAGGCATTTCTCGTAGGCAGTTATGTAGTGTAATGTAGGCATAATGTAATAATGTCTATACATGTAATGTATAGGCATTTCTAGTACCCAGCAGGGCCCATACTTTCATAAAAGTTAAGAGATCGTAAGTTCATCAGCCAATCATTGAAAGCCTTTCAAGCAAAATTCACCAATCATAGACAAGAAAATAGAGCATAAGTACTTGCGTTCACTTAGCCAGTTTTGAAAGTATGGCGATACCAAAGTCACACCTTATTTCACTCGGAAGTCAGTCAGCGATACAGAAAAAGACTGCATGAACACCTTAACGCATGATAACTCGGGTGGAACTGAAGCCCAGCGCCGAGAGAGCTCGCTTATTTGTGCCATACTTTCAAAACTGGCTAAATGAACGTTAGTACTTACGCTCTATTTTCTTGTCTATGATTGGTGGATTTTGCTTGAAAGGCCGTCAATGATTGGCTGATGAACTTACGATCTCTTAACTGTTTTTAAAAGAGTGGCTTGAAAGGCCGTCAATGATTGGCTGATGAACTTACGATCTCTTAACTTTTTTTGAAAGTATGGGCCTTGGCCGGTAATTTTCAAGGAAGAAAAATGTTAAAGCATCGACGCAACCTAACTCGGGATCTGTCGTGAACGCATAAATCAACGTACAGAGATGGTTTTGGTACCTTTGGATAGGGCAGAATTGCAGTTTTAAGATGAGACTAAAACAAGAAAAGCCGAAATTTTCGATTTTGGACCCAGATGCTAGCCGTAAAACATGCTTCACCTTTTGGAAAATATGGCCCATACAGAGCAGGATTAACTTCAGCTTAGCAATCAAGTTTATAGTAATTAAATCGATATTACTCAAGAATACAATGGATGAAGTACACAATAGATTCAAGATCCACACTGAATTCAAGTAGGTACACAATTTATGAATGACAATGTGTATATTAATGAAACAAAAAAAAACACCATGAAAAAAAAAACAAATACAATTTTAAAAAGATAATTTTTAAATTAATGAAGTAGAAAAATTCCCAAAGAATAAACAAAAAAACAAACATGATAATATGTAAATTAATGAAGTAAAAATCTCTCAAAAAAAATACTACTGAATTGATATTGAATTATTGAAAAATTATACTGAATTAAAATAAGGAAATAAATAATAATAAAAAATCAGCAGACCTGCCAGCAGGGGAAGGCAAGGCGCCGTCAGGAGAGGTCCGCCCCCCGCCGCCCCCCAACTGCTGCTGTAGCTCCTCCAGCTGTAGCTCCAGCTCCCCCTGCACGGTTACAGCTGTAATACATCTGCTCCAGCTCCCCCTGCACGGTTACAGCTGTAATACATCTGCTCCAGCTGTATTTATGCACTACTAATTGCATTTCAGGCCTACATTCAATGATGATATTAAATGGCATCTTGCGTACCTACTACGTCGCTAATGTTGCGACCATAATAGGAATAATATAATAATTCTAATGATATATTAATAATTGTTCGATAAAAATTGGTCGTTCAATGCACAATTGACGACTGAAAAAATGTTTCTATCAATAAAAGATATTAATTTAGTAGTGTCGGCCGTAGTCTTGATCTCATGTACACCATACAGATGTATTGCTGCACACACTTAAACCGTATCAACACATGTATTAGATCTGCAGCTGTATAACACATGTATTAAAGCAGCAGCTGTTCAGGCACCTGCTGCAGATGTGACGCCTGCAGCAGCCGTGTGGTGTCGCGCAGCTGTAGCTGCAGCTGCTGCACGTATCGCTGCATCTGCAGCTGCTCAGTTGCAGATGTACTGCCCCAGCCCTGAGGACGTCAGCCTCCATTAGATATTCCATTACACTCAAGACTCCATTAGATATACAATCCATTATATATAATGGAGTATGAAGTCCATTAGATTTCAAGCTATTAAACTCCATTAATTAACATAGCATTAGACTACAGGCTCCATTAGATATACATTACGTAGTATATATAATGGAGTCTAAAGTTCTTTAGATATCAGACCAGTAGACTCCATTATATGTCAATGCACCATATATCAATGCACCACAACCCTTATAAAATAATTTCATTAGCCTCCATTAGTTGACAAACCATTAGACTCCATTATATGTCAATGCAGCATATATCAATGCATCACAACCCTTATAAAATAATTTAATTAGACTCCATTAGTTGACAAATTATTAGACTCCATCATATGTCAATCCAGCACATATCAATGCATCACAACCCTTATAAAAGAAGTCCCTCCCCAACAAAATTCGGGGTATGCTTCAGCCTCCGCCCCAGAGTCGCTATGTTCGCGTTAGAGTTATTCTGTGTCAGTTGGCCAACTGATCGCAGTCAGCGACTAGTCAGAACCTCCTTGCATTTTTCGGGGTTTTAAAGCCAAACCCATGCATGGTTTTAAAGCCATAGAATAAGGGTTTTTCGGGGTTTTAAAGCCAAACCCATGATTTTAAAACCATAGAATAAGGGTTTTTCGGGCCGACTTTATGGTCTCTGAGAGTAGAGCAAGAGTTGGCAGAATAAGGACCAGGCGCTTGTAGCTGTCTGATTCGGGGACCGGAATGTAGACCGAAAAGCGGACATAGAGAAGCTGATTTACGTTCGGTCCTAGTCCTGGGCGGTTCCTGATTCAGGGTTGCAACCAACTAAAAATTTTGATAGGGATTAGACTCCACTACACGTCAATCCCCCAGACATCAATGCATAACAACCCATTATAAAATAATACCATTATCCTCCATTAGACCCTCCACATCCTCACCTCGCCGGCGTCCAGCATGCGCTGCTGCAGCGCCTCCTTCAGCTGCTGCACCTCCCCCTCCTTCTGCCACAGCTGCTGCTGCATCCTGTCTGACTTGGCCCTCTCCCTAGACAGGGCCTCAGACAGAGCCACGTCATCTCTAGACAGAGATTCAGACAGGGCCCCGTCATCTCTAGACAGAGCCCCGTCGTCTCTAGACAGAGCTTCAGACAGGGCCCCGTCCCCAGAACTGTCGTCTAGACGGGCGGCGTCTTTAGTGAAGGCTGTGTCGCCCCCGTCAACATTTGTTGTGGTATCCCCTGAAATTGGCTCTGATTTGTCCGGTGAGTCGACGCTGTCGTACGCGGAATCCTTGCTTTCTTCCGTGTTTTCGCTTGAATTTTGCTTAGTGTTGAACATTTTCTTATTGTTTTCCATAAATGGCGACTTTTCCTTAACATTTTCGTCGCTTCCTCTTCTAACATCGCCGTTTTCTCTTTTCAAATCACCGTTTTCTTTCTTCAAATCGCCGTTTTCTTTCTTCACACGCTTGTTTTCTTTCGTCACCCGCTCGTTTTCTATGTACAAATCGCCGTTTTCTTTCTTTAATTCACCGTTTTCTTTCTCCAACCGCTCGTTTTCGAGGGATAACCCTTGTATACGTTGCGTGAGCTCGCCGTTTTCTGTTTTAAGCTTGGAAATTTCTTTTTCGAGGGGAATCTTATTAGAGATGGCGACTTTAGTGATGGTGTGGATGTCGACGTCAGCCGTCCTGACGGCCTCCCCCAGCCGGTCGAGGTCGGCCTCCAGCCCGGCGATCTTGTCGAGCAGCGCCGTGATCTCGCGGTCCTTCGTCAGCAGCGCCGTGTCCGTCCGCTGCGTGAGGGGGTTACTTAGGTTACGGGAGAGGGGGTTACTTAGGTTACGGGAGAGGGGGTTACTTAGGTTACGGGAGAGGGGGTTACGGGTGAAACCATTAGGGGATAAACCCTCGTAACGGGGATTACGGGGGTTTGGGGGGAAGGGCTAACAATCCCGTAACCCCTGCAGATGTTTACAGCAGGGGTTACGGGATTGGGGGAGAGGGGATTACGGGAGTTGGGGGAAGAGATCTAGGGTTAGGGTGTTACGGGATGGGGGAAAGGGGATTAGGGGTTACGGGATTAGGAGAGAGGGGGTTCCGGGTGTTGGGGATAAAGGGGTTTACGGGTTACGGGGTTGGGATGAGAGGAGATCAAGGGAGTTACAGTCTAGATTTTGACGAACTCCGTTGTTTCAATTTCCCCAAATTCAAAATAACTTTTTAATAATCTTATAAGGTTACGGGGATGTGGGCGGAGCATATAGGAAGGGGGTTGAGGCGGTGGGGATGGGGGACGATAAAGGGATGGGGGGGAAGGTTTACGGGGGTGTCAAAAATTTTGCACCTGCAATCCCTGAACCTGCAACTGCACCTGCAATCCCTGCACCTGCACCTGCAACTGCACCTGCACCTGCACCTGCAACTGCACCTGCATTTCCTGGGCACGCAGTGCATCTGTCTGGATGATCTCCTCCTGCAGCAGGTGCACCGCCTCCTGCAGCTGCTTCTTCTCGGCACCTGCCAGCTGCACCTGCAACTCCAACGCTGCTTCAACTTCAACTTTTTCAGCCTCGAGTTGAGATTTTTGCTCAAGTTGAGTTTTATATAAAGTTTCAACTTGGGTTTTTTCAGATTCAACTTCGTTTAACTTGTGTTGAAGTTGCGAGGTTTGGGCTTCTTGTTGTTCGAGTTGAACTTTTAAGTTTGATATCGAAAGATTCAACTTTTCAACGGTTGAATCTTTCCCAACTTGCTCGAATTCAAGTTGAGATTCCAGGTTAGAATTCAACTTGTTTAGCTCTTCAACGCGAGACTTCAACTCGGTGAGTTGAATGTTGCGAGTTTCAACTTGGGTGTTGAAGTTGGCTTGAATTTCTTCATTCAATTTCTGTAACTTTTCAACTTGAATCTTCAGGTCGGAGTTAGAATCTTTCAAGTTTTCAAGTTCAGCTTCAACTTGAACTTTCACAGCAACTTTAGCTTCAAGTTCAGCATTTTTCAACTGCATTTCCTTCAACTCGTTTTCAACTTGAAAGTTGCGAGTCTCCAGGATATCAACTTTTTCAACGAGGGCTTTTTTCTGCGTCAACACAGCGTCTGTAGGAGACAAAAGGTTAGGTGACAAAAGGTTAGGAGACAAAAGGTTAGGAGACAAGAGGTTAGGAGACAAAAGGTTAGGAGACTAAAGGGTTAGGAGACAAAAGGTTAGGAGACAAAAGGGTTAGGAGACAAAAGGTTAGGAGACAAAAGGTTAGGAGACAAAAGAATAGGAGACAAGAGGTTAGGAGACAAAAGGTTAGGAGAAAAAAGGTTAGGAGACAAGAGGTTATGAGACAAAAGGTTAGGAGACAAAAGGTTAGGAGACGAAAGGTTAGGAGACAAAAGGTTAGGAGACAAAAGGTTAGGAGACAAAAGGTTAAGAGACAAAAGGTTAGGAGACAAGATCTGAATGAATCTATTCATGTTTAACTGAATAATACATAAAATAATGTATTATTACACGAATCAATGTATTGATATGACTCATATTAGTAATATGAGTAATAATAATATGAATCATAATGACTCATAATATGACCCACAAAAAATGAGTCACAATGACCCAGACTCGCCTAAATTCAGCTGATGCTCCTCGTCCAGCTGCAGCAGCTGTTGCTGCAGCTGCTGCTCCAAGTGGCCGCACCTGCTGCATTGCAGCTGCTGCACCTGCAACAGCGGGGGAGCAGGTGTGTCAGGGGGAGCAGGTGTGTCAGGGGGAGCAGGTGTGTCAGGGGGAGCAGGTGTGTCAGGGGGAGCAGGTGTGTCAGGGGGAGCAGGTGTGTCAGGGGGAGCAGGTG